CAGGATAGAAAAAATATAGCATCTGACAAGCCTGATTTTCAGTCTTAGGCTTATGTCGTGACTGCAGAAGACCTTTTTCATTTTGAAGAATGCTGTTCGAGCTTTCTCTATCCTTGTCTTTACTTCAGCGGTCATGTCCCAGCTTTCATATAAATTAGAACCGAGATGTGTGATCCTTTCAACTTTTTCTAGTGGTATTCCTTCTGAATTTATTGGTGGTTTCAAAAGCATGCCAAATGCAAGCTTTTACCTTTCAATAAAAAGTTGTTTGTATCATTGAAAGCTTTGTTGTTGTGTTTTTCTTTTAAGACAAAGGATGTTAATGTATGAGGGGTTTTTTTTCTTTTCCTAAACTAAAACCTCAGTATTCAGGTTCAATTGCCGTGTTGGCACTTTGCGATAAATAAGTGGGTTTGGGGTTTCAGTTTGGGCACTCGGTCTCTAAAAGGTTTGCCCTCACTGCAGTAGGAGAAGCAGGATGAAATAGGTAGTCCTCAACTTACGACCATAGCTGAACCCAAAATTTCTGGTGCTAAGGGAGACGGTTATTAAGTGAGTTTTGTCCTGTTTTACAACCTTTCTTCCCGCAGTTGTTAAGAGAATCACTGTATTTGTTAAGTTAGTCATGGGGTTGTTAAGTGAATCAGGCTTCCCCATTGACTTTGCCTGGCAGAAGGTCGCGAAAGGGGATCACGTGACCCCCGGGACGCTGCGACTGTCATAAACATGAACCAGTTGCAAACCGTCTGAATTTTGATTACCAGACCCCGAGGATGCTGCAGTGTTTGTAAGTGTGAAAACAGCCGTAATCACTTTTTTCAGTGTCGCTGTAAGTTCGAATACTCACTAAACGGATGGTTGTAAGTTGAGGACTACCTGTATTTCTTTGAAGGAAAGTGAAACAGCTTTAGCATCTCTGTATCTTGATGGATGGAGAGCGATCAAGGAGAGAAGCAACGTAGAACTAAGGAGGAATTTCCTGACAGTAAGAACAATTAGCCAGTGGAACAACCTGCCTCCAGAAGTTGTATGTGTGCGCCAATGCTGGGTGTTTTTAAGAAAAGATAAAGGAAAGGAAA